GAAATTTGGTAACTGACTCGGATTTCAGCACTTCAATGCCAGCCAAAATGATATTGGAAATATTCAGCTCACCTATCAAGACAGTTGAACAAATGACCATACTCGGCCTGCCTGACCTCAGGTGTTCAATCGAAGGAACTTCATCGTAGACGCCAGAGTTAGTATGAATAACCCTCGGCGTTCTCGATCCAGAGGAAGATATCACGCAGATGAAACTTATACGGTTACGTAGATAGATGGATTTGCCAACCGTCTTCATTGCTCTGTCTGCAAACACGAGACTTGTATTTTAGTCCACGTACTGTTGAAATTGTGCACTTTACAGGCAAAGTGGTGGAGTTAGTCAAATTGTGTAAAGTGACTTGCGTTTCAGAAACTCTTGAACCAAGGGGGAGCCAGCGCCCGCCTGTCCATTGTTTGGAATTCGTTTACCATGAAACGCTCAAAATAGGCATTGAAAGCTTATGCAGCGAAGAGTGAGAGTGACGAAGGTGTTTAACTTCATCGGTTACGCAGTTCAGGCGGATTAATGTGTGGTGATTTCAGCAAGCGTAGTGATTTAGGGGGATACTTTTGCTCACACATTACCACATGATCTGACGATCCACCGGGACATCAGTGGGCCTCAGGTCACGGTAAACAGTCGTTGCTTGTCGGGAACAACCAACCCCCTCCCCGAATAAAACCCAGCTTGACCCTTGTAGACCTAGCTTTTCCGATTAAGAGAATTCCGGAGAATTCGGACACTACATCTAGTGTGATAGTGACATGGGTTTCTCAGGAGGCTGATACACCACTTTTTGAAGACAGAAACATTTTTATTTCATACTGTTCTTAGTACGTTTCTTTGGCCAGTTGTCGTCTCCTTTGAAAACTCGTACGGTTTTGTTATCTTGTCGAGTATGAAAAATGAAACTTCTGGATCAGAGTACGATGTTTACTGTCTATCCCAGTTTTCCAGGTGCTTCCAGACTTTACACCAGGGGAGGCCAACTGAGCCGTTTTGTTGGTTATTCAGTTTTTCAAGACAGCATTTTTGCGGCTAAGTTGCTGTTTCATCCTTTTACCATGATTCGTTCGAAACAGTTACCCCGAGATGTTGTCTCTCGTTCCCGGGTTTTCGCTTTCTGCTAGCGCTCTTTCCTTGAGCTTAGACTATTCACCTTCTGGTGGTTTGAGTAATTCCTCTCTCTGACCCTGCATGAAACAAACATTTTTGATTGGGAAGAAATCTGCATTTCACTCTTTACGTATTATGCTGGCTTTCGATGTTCGAAAATCGGCAAAAGTCATGGATATGCGAGAGTCTTTGAGTTGATCATCATCAAAGACAGCAACATCACTCTTAACACTGATGCTTTACTTCCGTAGAGTAAGTGGATAATGCTGATGTTGCGGAAGACAGGATGGGTGCGCTACTTGATTGTTGGTCTGTCCTCCGAGCTTGACAGTTGATCGCACCTGATGTTTAGTCGCACCTCTGATTTGCATGATCCGTAGCGAGATTCTGGACGGTGAATTAAGGTTCTCCGTAGGCCTCGGAAGTATATAAATGAGCCCCTTTACTCAAATTCTATTGAGTTGCTGTTTTGCATTTATGCGGAAGTAGACTGGTCGGTTTATCTCACTGACGGTACAAAGGTGTGGCAGAGTATGTACGACAAAACAGTACAGCCATACGGAATGTCACTCACACAAGCAGTGACATGAATAAACCTGAACTTATGCACAAAGGTTAGCTGAGTGCACACACTCGAACGCGTCTGATTTATCTTTGTGTTTAATCAATACCAACACCGTCGGTCTTCGCAGACGTCTCCTTCGCTGTTATTAGGGACGAAAATCGCGGTCGTCGAATCGGAGTCACAAGGAAGAGCAAAGCAGATAAAGTTAGGTGTCCTTGTTGGTGTTCCGTTTAGTTAGTTGTAACATTTGTGTCCAAAGTTCGGCCTCGCGGCCGCGGTTGGCGGCCGTCCATGTGTGAGTGGGTGTGTGTCAGTGTCCAGCTTCACCCAAAACCTGACACCCAAAGAACACTGCAACACAAAGAAACAAGTCACAATAGCCTATTTACTGCCCGAGTCACAGCCGATTGCAGCGTAAATTGTCAAATTCTGCGGGATGGAGAGCGAGGGGATAGCGGAGCAACACCTAGAACATTCATGCCTAAATCTACCACATCGATGCTATTTTGTCTGTCTTACTTCTAATCATTTTGACGCTGTGGTATTAAAGTCTCCACACCTCGCTACGGTGATCTTAACCTTTCAGACTCACCACTAGTGTGAACAGTCGTGATCTCCTGGCACCAAGAGTAAGCACCGGAGTTGCTTATCGCTCTTTTTAGAGCTCGTCGGTGATCCATATCTTTGGCCTTGTCGGGGTTTGACCTCCGGGCATTCTACCACACGAAGCGAACCTGTTACCACCACTCCACCGGCCCACGCTGGACGCATCTGCATCTTCACGTCTGAAGGGACGTACATGTTCACACTTAACCTTTGCCTAGGCCAATGAAGCGGTACCAGACCGGTTTTAACCGGTAGACCATAATTAATCAAATCAAACGTGTTTTTTCTGTAGACACGTTAGTTCTTGCCAATATTTCGTATTCCGGTTTACACGCACACTTGTGCCATGTGGATGCCGTCCGGCCACTGCTCATCACCGGACTATACTGTTAGTTTTATTGATGTTGACCACCTACTTGCCCCTGTTGAGGTTAAGATGACTCCAATCGCGCTGCTTCCGCACTTCATACTTCCTTTTAGCGTGATCTCCCTACAGATCTTTGTAGTGTTTAATTTTTAACGTTTTCCAATGCGTTGAAAAAGTTCTGATACCTTTACAATGTATTAGATAAGATCAAACAACTAAAATCAGCAACCCGAATGGTCAAAGGTGGGAACAAAATCCAAAAAATCTCACGCCATTTCGATCCTGTTGAGACCAGATGGTTAAACTTTCACGTCCGTCTCATTTCACATCCCTTCGCAGTGCAGAGATTTGTGCTCCATGGAGCGATAAATCGAGGTTTTGGAATCGTAGTCCGTTTGGAGGCAGACATAAAACTAACTACGCCATTGGACGAGGACAAAATGGCATTTCATACTCTCGAACTGTTGTGGCACCGTACACCCGAAAGAAATTTCCAACCCAAATCGAAGGAAATTCTAGAGACGCGCGAGTTCTCCATTCCAACGACACTGAATTGACTGGCGAACAGCCCACGGGCTCATTAGGTTGCGCTAGTGTCTGTGGGCCGATTATGTGCAAGAGTTTTGAATGTTCGGAGCATTCACATTCCACACTCGGGGGTATTGGTTCTCATGTAGAGCAAGCTTCTCGCAGTAGTTGAGCTGGTGTAGATTTTCCGTTTTACCCCCACTATGTGGTTGTTCATGGTTTTCGGCGTTTGATGCACCTCTCCTCAATCAGCTTAAAGTTTGGTTCAAAAAGCCTATTTTCAGTGTAATCATCGAGAACAGTGATACAGACAACTGCTGATGTGCACTGATGGACTGAATGCAAAAGTAGGTTGGGTGGGTCTCTTTCCACGTCAAGTATCGTGTGCTCAAAAACCGAACGGGGAATTCCGTTCGGAAGCCTGATTCCTGATGAGAGAAAAGCTCCCAAGCCCATGCTCCCATCCTCCAACATCAATTTCAAGACCCACCAATACACAGCTGTGGTTTGAGGAGAACTTCCAATTTCAAGTCGACAGTAACGAAAAGACGCATCAGCTCTGATGGGTTGAGCAAATGAGATAACCTTCGGGATCCAAGGCGACAGTTTTCTCTATAAACTTCGCGATGCTTTTGAGGCTGCCCTTGACTGTACAAAATCTAGAGCGACGCGCTCAAACCAGTGTTAGTTTGTACCGGGAATGCCAATCTTACTAAGTTTCTACGAATCTCCATGTAATTGGGCTAGTTCATCCAACAGGAGCTAATCACAGAAAAGCTAGTAATATGAGTTTTAAAACAGGACAAAACCGCTAGTGAGTCTCATACATACACACACTACTCTGATGGTAGGTGATTTCATTGGTGAGGGGAAAGGTATTCAAAAGGAATAAGATCAAAAGGAGAGAACCAAACACGAAAACACCAAACTCTGGGAGAAACCGTCTTGGGAACGGCACGGAACAATACTGATTATCTATCAAGCCTTTCTTAAACGATTCGGTGGTTACTTTTTAGTTTTCATTAATCCACTGTGTAAACAGATGAACTTAGAATACACAGTTCAGTTGATGGTAAGAGCCTAGTCATTGCTAATAGCCACTACCTACCATTCCCGATAGGGTTTTCGTGAACCAGCTAGACGAACTCAAACAAACTCAGACCAGAAATGTGAGGATGTCCAATAACTGAAAACTCACAACTAACTTTGCGCTGTGTTGTACTCTAACGGTCGCAGTTACGCCTAGGGGGATAATTAGCGACATCCATCTTGGTGGACATCCTTCGTTATGTCAATCCCCCAGTGTCCTCTTGCTGCCCTAGAGAGTCAGGTTCCATCGGTATTCATGTCCCATGCGCCTTCGTTACTTCGTTCCTCTTACCATGCATTATGAGTTTGCCTTTCGTTCAAACTAGACTCTGAGTGCCGTAATCGTTGTTCTCCACTTGTGGTTGACTATGTTAGTAGTTCTTAATGCAACATTAGTGTGATTCGGACTCATTGACAGTTTTCCACATTTCAGACTTGTTGCGTTCTTCGTCTTTCAAAAAAGCCGCAAGACCGCCGCTTTGCAATCATTTCCTGAAGCTCGAATCGTCCCCTTCATTCCATTATTTCTCTTTGTACAATTTTTCTGTGCTTCGTTTATGGATAACTCAGGTGGAGTAGCATCTTACGGCGAGTTTAACGGCCACCTAGGTGGCTACCATAAAACCGGACCTCTTGCATATCATTCGGATGCTGCGGACATCAGCAAGGATCTGCCCTCAGACGGAGGCTCTGAGGAATCTTTCAGTAATAGCTCACATTCTTGTATGTCGGCGGCGTTTGATGAGGATTTTCCGGTGAACGGTGATGAGGAAGTGCAAACTCCATGTGTATCTCCAACACTTGATGCTCTACGTAGTATATCTACGGTTGTAAAGCTGAGCCCGAGACCACTGAGCTCCAATCCTATCCTTGATTTGCCCAAATCGGACCATTTTAATTTTGTTGCAAAATCCTTATCAGATGCGGTATTACGTCCATGTCAATACGCTCTTGACAAGCGGTATGATGAATCCATTCCCGTGCGCACTTTGAGACGTTCTATGAGGGAAAATTCGAAATTAAATGGTGATAAATGCGCTCTATTGGATAAGAAAATGACTCTTGGCTCTCGACCTTTCACCCAAATTCGTCGACTTGAGAATATTGCTCCTTGCCCGATAAGCCCACTTCCACGCATTACCTCGTATTCCTCGTCCTCTGGAAGTCTTATTGGGCACATCAATGGCTTGTCGTTTGAACCAAACGGATTTATAATGAGCGACAGTTTATCGTTCGCCAACGGCATTTGCGATCGTCCATCGGATGTGCTGAAAGGTAAGAATCGGTTTACCTAACTAACGTTGCTGGTTAGCTTGCAGGTCCGCGGATTTGTCCCAGACACTCAAGGTGAGTTTTTGTTCTCTGCTTTGGGTACGCATGAGCTTATAACTAATAAACACGATTTCTTCCTTAGTAACTGTCCACAAAACTGGTAGACTGTGGTGCTATCTATTGTAGTGGTTTTCCAAGCCCCACGTAGAGCGTGCGTTCATATGGTAGTTCAAAGCCGTTTAAAAAATTCACCGCTAAACTTCTATTTGCTGTGGAGCCTGTGATGTACAGTCTTTACATTCTGTACCTTGTGTACCTCTGTACCTTCTGTACCTCTTGTGTTTGGACTCCGGAAACAGTACCTCTTGAAAACCTTAACTCTCACACATTTTGCACCTTTCGGTGCCTAGCTGATATGCCACCCAAAGGGAGCACGAGGGCTGGGGTACTGCCAGGTAGTCCAAGCCTAGACAGGGGAATCTGAGATGCAGAGGTTAGATTCGAACCACGGACCTTCTGGTCAGTAAATTCGCGTTCTTACCACTTAGCCATCTCGCCGCCATACTCAAGTTTGGACTTCTTTCAAGAAAGTATACTGAAATATATCAAATATCGTACCGACTGAAATATTAGGCGGTCTTTGTGCAGCACATTCAGTAGAAGAATATGGAAAATGATGGAGTTATCTGGGATTCAGTTGAGTCACGTGAAAGCCAAATCGATGCGCAACTGAGCGTACTTCCCGAAAACCTAATCCTATTTCGAAATTTCTGCGAATAGTTTAGGAAATTCTAGACTCAACATGCAGATAGCTTAAAACCTTGTAATGCTCACAGTTTTGCACGATTCTGTGATGTGTGACGAGGAGCTGGTTTATCTGTCTTCTTTCGAACAAATACTTGACTCCCACGTGGGTGTTTTTATGCGCGTACATAGTTTTCCCGCGCTTAAAACGCTCCGTTGAAGTAACCGCTCGGTGGCCTGAACGTCACTTTGCTAAAGTTCGAAGTAAACCCTCAAGCTGAAAAGGTTAAGGCTATCGCTTCATTCGTTTTCTGACTGCCGGTGACTGATCACTGGGTTTGTTCGGCAAGCGTGTACACTTGGCATTCCACAACAAACATGTTGAATACCTTCAATCTCCGGTCTGTAGAACCTGATTTATAGTCTAACCTTGAGCTTCATCTTCACATTCCTTCATTAGCGTCATCAGCACCGCATACACGGTGGCCAACAATCCCGGTTGTAGTTGAACTCAAACCGACTTCTCACTAATCTTCATCTTCGTAAACAACAACACTAGTACGGGACATCGGTGCACCATGCCAGTCTAGTTGAATTAAGTCTAACAGTAAGGAGAACGAAAAGCAATTCGAAAGACTCCTAGTTCGAACCTACCACAAATGTCTGACGGATCCACTCTTTTAAACATACCCGGACGATCGGGACAAGAACGTCACTGACATCGCTTTGTGACGGTATCGTCTCCAGCCGAACACAGGGACACTCACGGAGGACCCCGTCCTGGATGGCAGATACCACCCCTTCGCTCATACTTTGCTCACCTATTGGTGCAAACCACCGTGTATTCAATGTGGCAAACACTGCAATAGATCGCTATGTGTTGCACATGACCGTGTCAATGTAGCTTTTAGTACCATGTAGAATTCATTGGTGAAATATCTTAACCCTCCTGATCACCGCTACGAATTCGTTAGCGTCACTATAAGCTATGACCGTGAAACATCGATTAGTGATTGGAGACCTGAATACATCCCAGCGGTTGAATCCTCAAGACTAAGTCAGGCAACCATACATCAATAAAGTTGGCACTGTAATCGACACCAGTGCCGAAGCCTCGAAATCACCGTCGTCATCCACAGCGACATCAGAAGAGAACACTGGTGTTTTGCTGTCGTACAACCATGTTAATTTGTTTCAATAAAGCTGTGTCATAGAAAGAAGAGATAAACAGAGCAGGAAGGGGGACCAAGGGCCAGCCTACAGTGAAAATCCGCGGTACATACACCTCTAACTCTTAGCTAGACAATTTGGATAGATTCTGACAGCGCGAATGCCACTGGTATCGGTTAGCCGCTCATACACTTCAGCGCATGATATTCACAAACTTCTGAGATATACCCTATCGCGCAAGCGTGTTACCAGTCGGCAGAATCGAACGCGCCCCTGAAGTCAAAGAACACCAAGATTCTTTATGTTCATATCGTTGCTCTAACACTTGATGGCGTGCAAAGATGTGACCCAAACAAGCTCATCCCTGCAGGAATCTCGGTAGTTGTTATCGGGCCCCGTCTTCTTGTGGCTTAGTAAGGCAACGTAGAGTAAGTATATAGTCTGGCTACAAAGCGAGTCTTTTTGAAGACATGAACCGCTGTCAACTCGCATTAGTTGGTTGGACAGTCTTTTCGCCCAAATAGAGGCAAATAATTTAGACAAACGCTGACTGAAGGCCTCATCTCCATCTTTAAACAGTGGGTGGGAGTTCTTCAGGACCAGCAGCTCGGTGACGCTTCGAAGACGAAAGGCATTCGCTTACTTCCGAAGCAGTCGCGGGTTCTAGGTTCACTGTTCAGGGCTCCGTCAGTGGTTGGGGATCTGGCTGATTAATGCGGTCGGTAGAACTGCTGCTGAATGTGTTCAGCCCAAATACTTAGGCGGTCTTCTTTCTAGGAACATGCGAGCTGTTTTAGCTGACGATTGTTTCGTTCACCAGAAGCCTCTTTTGTCTTGTGCGTATCAGCTGGAACAGTTAACTCACATTTCCAGAGTTAACCGCCCTCTCTATCTCTCCAGGTTTTAAATTCACCAAGCTTCTCGATCCGCGCAAATTTTATTCTTCAACTGAAGTCTGACAGTTCGTCAAGTGATATTGTTCTCTGAACCAGAGGGAATACGTGTCCGAGCTTCGAGCGATTTTAGTGTCGCTTGAAACCCAGTGCTTGAATGCAGTTGGTTGCGCCTTTCCATAGGCGGAGTGCCTAAGATCTCACAGGGTTGTGGACAGTACCTTCCAATAAGAGTAAACATCAGAAGACGTGTTGTTGGAAAAGAACTTCAGCAAGTAGTTTTGGTAGGATTGTTTCAAATCAATGGCCAGGTGAATTGTGCTTATCCCGTGTGCCCCCGAAAAACACAGTGAGAAGCATCACTTCGCCAGGTGGCTTCGGTTGTTTGGACGATTTGTACTGCATAGAAGCAGTCTGTGATCAGCACATAACCGCAGCAGGCGTTTGTCCTTTCTTATCCATCCCAGTCCAAAACGACCACCCAATTCAACTTCGACAGCTCCGAATCCACTTGCCTAATCACCGGCAACCACAACAACATCTGAACTCTCAGTCAGCCGCAACAAGGAGCCCAGGGCGTGGTAAAAACTGTTTTTGAATGTATCAGAGCTGCGGTTTATTGGGACATTAGCAGATACGATGAGCAGGTTGCAGATGTGGGGATACCTTCACAGACGTTGTCATTCGAACCACACAGAGGTGACTATCAGCAGGCAGTCATTTAACCAGATACCCTTTAGCTCGGTGATTTAGAACACTACCAACCCCAGCAGAGCCAGCTGCGGTGGCCTCTGGATCAGTATGCAACCAAGAGTGAGCGGAAGCCGACGGGGTGGTCAGTTCAACAACCTTATTTGGGTATTGAATCGTCGTTTCAGGGACAGCACACGTCAATAGGAAGCATACACACAAGAGCAGTTTGCTGTCCGGTTTATTTTAGGATGTAAATGCCAAAGGCTGCCAATTTATCTGAGCATGGGGGTCTGAAGAGTGATTCTGAAGTGTCTGCGGCTGGCGGTGGAAGGCGGCGAGCGGGTCTTTCGGTCCTTCAGAATGGGCCTACGGATGTGTCGCTAGCAACCGAGTGAAGGGGGGGGGACAAGAACGAATATTTGAAAGTGAAAGAAGGGAAACGACAACACTAGCCCGTTTTCGCTTACCCACTCTGCTGTATTTGGCTGTTCGCAACTGATAACACCATGCGACAGCCGATTTGGTATGAGATTATTTGTAAGTGTGTAATCCGTGGTTGTGGGTGGGCTGGGTGGTATGGGCACCTCGAATTTCCGCTTTAGTTTAGGCGTTGTTCATCCTTCACGCTCTGTTTCTTTCTTCCTGTGATACTGTTGTACGACAGTAAAACATTGTGTTCTCTGGTGTTATCAATGATCATTTGTATTTGTACAACCATCCACTTGGTGCATGCGTTTTCCGATTTGCAAATAGTATCTTGGTGTAGGACTGTCAATCTTATACGCTTAATATTTGCGAATTTAGTAATTTGTATTTGTCGATTGGCTGACTTATTTTGACTGCTTCACTTGACCATGAATTTTTTTTGGGCGAAACGCACCCACACCTCAAGGTACTCGCAGCGACCTCACGTCAGGAACTTAAAACACCTGTCCCCCCCGTACCACTCTTTCGGTCCCTAGCTCCAATGCCACATGCAGGAAGCTCGAGGTCTGAGATGTTGCTAGGCTGTCCAAGCTTAGACAGTAGTCGAGATGCAGAGGTTGGGTTCGAACCACAGGACCTTCCGGTCAGTCTATTCGTCCCTTCACCATTGGGCTATTGTATAGAAAATAAATGTCTTTGAAACAAATGGATTAATTTACGGGACAACTGTGAAGGCAGTCTCATTTTGGTGATGTTAGACTTGGGAATTCCAAACGTAGAACAAATGACGTCGGCTGGCTTCAGCATATCCGCAAACAAGGGGTGGGATTGCTCAAGTGGTTAGAGTGCGAACTTACTGACCGAAAGGTCCGTGGTTAGAACCTGACCTCTACCTCAACTTCCCCTGTCTAGGCTTGGGTAACCGGGCAGTATCTCAGCCCTTCAGGTGGCATGGCAATTAGGCATCAAAAGGATGTTACAGTTGAACGATTTTTTTCCGCAAATAAAAGGGTACATAATGATGCATTATGAATCATCATCACCATAATTGTCAATAAGTTCAAGGTAGTTGAGGCCTGTACTGCGCGTACCAAATCATTGTCTACCACAACAATATCCGTACTTCACTTTGAGCCTTCGTTCGTGTGGAACGGATACAGCAATGCAAAACAAAGACCACTACTGTAAATGTGAGTGCTGTGAGATCCTTGTGCTCTTTCGGTCGCGGTCATCGTGGTTATTGCGTTCTTCTTGAAAATCATGCAGAACATAGCCGTTCCTGATGGCCGTAGAGCGATACTTTTTAGCCCAATTACCTAGCTGCCATTTTTGTGCTTGGCTTATGTAAGATACGACTCGTGAAAATGCTAAAAAACTGTTATGTCAAAGCCATTTCAGTACAATACTCCACCCGACTGTGAATCGGTTTTCTTAAAACTGTTAATCTCTTCATTCTTCCGCTTTTACGCGGACCCTCTCCACCGCCGTTATGCACGCTTTTTTCGTGTTAAGATATCTGAGTTTCCTCAGATGACTATGAGATTCTTAAAGTATTTAGACGGGATTATAACGGCGGCTCCATGCCAGTTTTTTTCCAGAATTTTGGATTTCACATTCCCGTATCTTTTCGAATTTGACTTTGAACCACCCTAATCTCGCTATCTTTCCTGAAAACCATGCTTCTGAATTGAATTAGAAGCCGTTGGTGCACAGCAATAGACATTTTTGAAACTTGGTGCACCGAGTGGATGGCAGTGGTGCATATGAAAGTACTTTCTCGGCTTATACCTCTAACTACACATGCGTAGGCTTAAGATTCGTAGCTGAGTAGTCGAAACTACTCAAGCCTTTTTGGCAATTTTACCATCACATCTTTCACCAAAAAAGTATCGTATTTATTGCTGTTAGTGATGATGAGTGCGGTGTTTTTCCAAGGCGAATGCAGTAAGTTTGCTCTACATTGCTACGATGAACCAAACAACTCGTTTCGAATCCATTACTTTCAGAAAGTGGTGGCTACTGGCTTGTGGAATCCAAAAGAGCGCTTCATCTGATCGTTTGATGTTGTTTGCTTTGGCTTGCTTTTGACTAAAAAACGGCTTCCGTTATTTGATAAACCCCGTTCTTTTTTTCCTCTCCAGAATGGATTTGACGATTTCCCCTCTGAGATCACTGTGGTCAATGCATCCAGCTCTGTGCATATCGGTGAAGATGCTGACGACACTGAGAAGGTACCGAAGTCTGCGCCTGCCTTCCTCTCTTCTTCACAGCCAGCCTGTTCAGGTAACTGTGATGCAGCCGATTTATCCAACGTGGTCGAAGATGTAGAAGTACGGTCTGGAACATCCGACACTGGTGAGAGTAATGTCAGTGGAACCGACGGTCTTAGGAAGCCCAGACATTCCAAACGCTCAAGACGCAATCGGTCTACCATCAAGCAGACTACTGCACAATCTGTGGGGGTTAAGAGCGAACCTCCCCAGTCTGTGCTAGAATCCACCAAAGAACCTGAAAACCAGATGGTGAAGGAAAACGAAGACATACCAGAAGAGTCTACGCTCAACGAGTCTAATAATACGGATGTAAATAACGAAGCCACCTTGATTAACAGGGTTGTAGATATGAGCCAGCGTTGCACTACTACTGAACCACCCGAAATTACTCAAGAAATGCTATCTACCGATCAGCTTCCCATGGAGGACTCCGTCGCAGCCGATGGGGACTTCACTCTTGTCACAAACAAGAAACATAAACGGCAGCAGAAACTCCAACAACAACTGCAGCAGCAGCAACAACAACAACAAGTTCAAGCTTGGATTCCTTCTGCTCGCACTCCGCCTGTTTCCACCTCTTTTAGACCACAGAAGCCCACTACTGCTAATGTTAGGTTACCAGTGCCTCCAAACCAGTCCTTGTCGGTGAACAAGGCGCCGGCCTCACCATCATTCCGCCCAACAAATCTTCCACCTGGCGATAGACGCAGATTTGGCAACTTCAGTCGTCCTAATGCACCGCTTCTCAACCAGGTCCGACGTCTAACTCCCAACTCAGGGCCACATCGACCGTCCACAAACTCTTCCGACACATCAGTTCCGCCAATCAAAACAACCGTCTCTCCACAACCTCTTTTGGATTGCAAAGTGCCGCAACCATTGACAAAGGCCCAGACCAGCGTCCCAACTGAAAAACACACGGTTTCACAGCCATCCTGTACAGAAGTTCCGCGGGTTGCTACACATCCCTCTGTGCCACATTCAACGCTTTCTAAGTCTGATTTCAACAACCAACCACTGATGGGAATCCGTCCTGTTCATTATCAACTTTTGTTAGACTTTCTTCTATCCTCTTGGAGCGCGTTCAGAAAGAAATCTACCGGTTCATAGAAGTCACCGACTATCTAGGTGTACTGTGACTCAGCGACAACGACCAATGGAATGCCGTTGTCTTTCAAGGCATCGCAGTTGCCGTGTGTGTTGTTGAGGATTCACACTTATCGGCCAGTTATTTTTTAGCTACAATTACGCAAGTGCCTACTTGCCGTTTAATCGGTCTCCTTTTTGCCGGATTTCCTAGATCTGCCTTTCACTTACCCACACACCTCCCGAACACGTAGACATTAGATTTAGTTTCTTATCATTTTTGTAGACATATACGTACGCCAGTTGTTTTGCTAAATTGTGCGTTCACGAACACAATGGTCTTTCTATCTTTTGGGCGGGATGTTGATTTGTTCCAATCACCTTTTCTTTGTTTGCGCCCATCGTTGACCTTGTACTTGTGAACTCATATCTACTAACCGGCTGTTGTTCGATCCCGGTTCGCATGTATAAAGTTTATCGCTAGGCCCCCCCCCCCCCCCCCCCCCCCCCCTTCCTTTCCTCCTAATTATTTTATTTNAAAATTTTTTTCCCCCCCCCCCCCCCCCCCGCCACACCCTACTTCCTATGCGTCGTATTAATTTAATCTGGTTTGTGATACGCGGGCACTGCACGCCCTGTCCTCAATCCTTTTGTGACTTGGTTATGTTAGTCACGTAACGTCCTGGCGCCTGACCCTCTCCTTCAACCGCCACCGGTCTGCTTTCAAATCTGTTCACCTATTCAATGTGCATAGCCACATCGTGATATCCGAGTGTGCATGACCGATTCCTTTCTTGGCTGTCAAACTTCCAATTTGAAGAACTCTGTCATGACCTTCTTCTGCACTTGGCTGCATATTCTTGCCAAAGTGTACACAGTGTTTTTTCTCTGAACTGGGACTACACGCTGCTTTGAACAACCCGCCCATTGTGTAGTTTAGGCCGTGTTCCATTTCTTGTGTTAGTTACTATTTTCCTACTGCTGTATGTACCTCTCCACACCCGTCTTACTTCCCAAAACGACCGGTTTGTCGTGATTATTCACAACACCGCCAGGTGGAATGATGCGCCGTTGTTGTCATGTAGTCAGTACATAGTAGATTGTTGTTGGAATCACTGTTTGGTTTCTCACTGTGAGGAGGAAAGGGCTCGAAAAGCAACGTGGAATAATCCAATTTTAGCCCGTCTGGAGTCAGAACCAACCGGACCATACCGGCTTGAGCAGTTGCTGGGCTCAGTCGTTCCGCTTTGTGAATCTTATCTCCTGAATTGCCCAGTCGGTGGTCGGATCTGCGTTTCCCGTGACGCATTTCTGGTTCTTCTGGCGACCGTAAACCAATCAAAGTAGCAATCAAGGATATGCGGCATTCGCATCGTGATTACTTTTCAATAGCTATTGGCACGTTGCTGCTGCATAAACGAAGTGCTTTTTCAATCAACTGACAAAATTTTGGAAGGAGTCATCCTCTTAGACTTGGTTAGCAAACAATCAGTGGATTCATCGCTAAGCGGTGTTATATTTTTGGCATAGTTTACCGTTATTTCATCAGTTTGAGCGCTGATGTCACGCTGTCTATGATGATGGTGAATTCAAAGTAGGTCGGCTGAAGGACAGTACACATTTAGGATAACCTCGAGAAAACGGATAGCCAACAACTACTCAAGCGACATCTAAGAAGATCATCAGTCCGACTATCGAGACCCAACCTGGATCTTTGGGGGTTAATACACTACTTATAAGGTCGCTGAAATCTCTGGTAGTCCACGGGGGTTCACCCTTCTTGTGGCTTATCAGGTAGACGCAGTCCCCTGCAACCTCATGTTCTACTTGAAACCACATTGCACGAAACTAGTGAAATGCACCCACTTGCATACCAATTTGGTTTTGACAGTAGACTCACCTGGAACCCAGTTGAATCCCTCGTTTATGGTTCAGCTGGGTTCCTTATTGGTATGAAAATGAGTGTATTTCGCTAGCCTTTGAATTTACTAGAAGAGTAGTATTCCACGAGGTAGGACCGTATGCTTACTGATGGCACACTTAAAAGTTTATTCCCAGTTGACAGGGCTACGTGTACAGTGAAAATACTGCACTTTAGATGTATACGGGGAAAAAGTGAACTGAACATCCCAATGGATGAACACGGGCGAAGAATAAACAAACGATTGGTGTGTGCGTGTGAGTGATAGCTAAATTCCATGACATGCACTGAACACAATGACCTACGATCTGTTCCACGAATTTTGAAAGCCGTAGCTTCGCGAGCGCCAGAACCCTGTTATGACCAGGATGCAGGGCATAGAAGAGGCTAGGAAGGCAGCCGAATCGACCCCTGGCTGTATGCAATCATCAGCGAAGTGTAGTTGTTCACAAGGTCCCAAACCGACAGAAATCTATGTAACGCCACCCGCTGACCAAATCGTAACGCTTGTTAAATGCACTTGCTAACCAGTTCTATACGACATCCAAGGGGATCTATCTGTCAAAGTGTTCGAATCCGAAGCAGAAGGCTACAAGTTTCACCAAACTCGATATTGACTTTCCTCCCTAATCGATTGTAAGGCTTGATCATGCAGATTGATCAGACTTCAACATTGAGCTGAAAAGGTTCTCGCTGCTCGGTTCTCCGTCTCCTTCAGGCTCGACCAAATTGACAATTTTTCTCCAAGACAGCGAAAATCCCGTCTTGCAATAAATCCAGCGACTGTTTACTGAGAGTTTTTGAGGCATTAATTACGGTGACGCTCATCAAAAACGAGTGAAATGACTTACATGCTGGACGATTATATTCGGTGCGGGAAATGTGAGATTCTAATTTGTGCTCCCTTTTTGTGACGAGCTTTACGGGTGCAAGCGTCCGTTTTTGTATAATTGTAAGTACCCAGGGTCATGGCGCTGCATGAATCGCATGAGTTTAGTGACAAACTGTCATTGAGAGATGAGTGACACTACATACTGTTCAATTACGGGTTAATCACTTTGCTAATCGACCTCGGAATGGCATAGGGCAGAGCTTTTGGCAGATTTCGACCATATCGGATAGTTTGTCGGCGGCCATGGTCAACATCTGCGCAATCGGAGAGTGCCGCTTGTAGGGTCAGCCTTTTTTAATTCTTCCCTCCAAGAGGAAGGGCAACATCACTTGTATCACACAACTTACTGCCTTCGACCTCCAATCGCAGAGTACAGTATGACTCTACCTCCAATCGGCGTCGTATTGTGGTTAACCTTAGCCTGACTGCTCCTCATTTAATGATTCCGACATAGTTAAACTTTGTGGAGTGACGTTCCAGCCAGTTTGTTCCACTCACTGACGTCCAGTCAGGACGTTGATGTGGCAGCTATTGGTTGGGTGTCGAATATATATGTATCTAAAAGGGCTTCCACAGGAACTCTTGAGAGATGCTTGCGAAGGTTCGAAATTCGCACGAACTTGGAAAAGTGGAAGATATTTTGTTTGGCAATCCGCGGCGCAACTTTGAATCAAATTAACAGCAAGTTTTCTATGTGTGGAATAAAGAATGAAACTCTTGGTTAGCAACCTAGTCAAGTCTTTCCATCACGAACGTTTCTCTGATTTCCCTGATATCTGGGATACAGATTCTAAATACAGCATCGTGGATTAGGCAAACTTGAGACAAACTGACGGACTATGGACTATTTCAAATGGCTTCTGTATGTGTCGTATCTGCGAAGCCAGTGACGATGGAAGAGGTAAGAATCAGAATGAATAATTCTGCTGCGTAATCTCCAGTGTCGTGTTTCTTAGGACATCGTCTGTCGCTGAGAGACTATAATACCACAGGTAAGTTAGCACAAATTCCAGCACAGCCCACAGGTGACGCGTGAGCATTAATCGATTGAGGAGACCTTGGATGAAGATATTGACAATGAACATGAGGTGATCCGACACAACAAGATTTCTAGGTGAGGTGAAAATTGCTACTCAGTGTTTTCAAATATTTGGACTCAACTCGTTTTTTAGACGATGTAAACAAGTTAATGCAGTTTTTAAATGACCAAACAACGAAGCCGATAACTCTGAATGCTTTTTCCAGTAAAAAGTGTTTTATACATAGTCTAGATGAAGAGAATTGGATTCCATTTTTGAGGATAGCCCCTCCTCCTGCACGGGAAAACTATTTCGGTCGTCATTAGGTGAGATGGCTGTTTCAGACCTCATTGACATTCAACATCTTTCAAACACACGTTCAGTGAGATAGGTTTAACGTCTTTCGTACTGCGATCTCATTACGCAACATGAGAGAGTATCTTAAGCACCGGTCCATCTAAGACACTAGTACTTACTGCAAGATCAAACCGCTAACAGGGCTTAGCTGTCCTCATTCTAAACGTTCGTAAGTTGTGGCGCCCTATGCGACATCCAGCCATATGGGATAACTTTCGTTCCCACCCAGGAAAGGTTTTTTTTCGGGCTATTTTTCCTTGATTTCTACAGTTTTATCGATCCTCCGAATTCGTCTGTTTCCCGTCACAAATCAGCTGGCTTTCAGCTGACTGGTTGGTCGGCTAGGACTGCAAACAAACAAAAGTGTGTACCATCCGTGACCTTGTTTATTTCAATGACATGGTCGACGTGTACAAACCGAGTCAATTCACACGCAGGCCTTGGTTTCCTGTCCAGGGAACTTGTGTCCTTGTCTTAATGAGTCAAACTTCCCGGCACAAAGCCAGTCACAACATACATAAATCACTGTGAAAATCGCGGAAGCTTCTGAAATGGCTGTTTCGATGAGAGGTGCACATGCGCCTACTTCTAACGCCTCGCGTCCGGACATGGAATGTTTGTAAGCTAAAGTGACATTACTAGTCACAGTTATGCGGGTGGCGACCACCAACCAACCGGAGGAATCATTAAAAATCAATCTGAGGTTCATCTCACTAACAGTGGAAGCTCAACAACAACGGACAGAATAGACTTCTAGGTTACTCCGGCTGTCGGTATTTGCACAGCTTGACATCGGTACATTAGGTTATCACCGGTGATTGGTATACTGGTGCGTGCTTGAATAACCGAGCCGAATTTCATTACAGTTTATCACGAATGTTTGAAGTCGAATGTTCTTGCTTTTATAAGTGGCTGCGCTAAACTGAAGCGAAAGTCACGCAGACGTTCTAATTCGAGGCATCTGAATGACTTAAAAGCCTCGAAACGTCATTGGCAGGATGACAGTCCTTTATGGATCAGTTTTATGTGCCCAGGATTTGGCTTAACGCTTTTTTTATCCCGTAGTTTTCCATTCTTCCACTCTGAATGCCCCCAATCATTATAAGGTTCAATATCTTTCGGTTCGTGGGTGAACGTGGGCTGGGATACTACCAGAGTGCCCGCACCTGGACAGGAGGACGATTAGGGTCATCAACCAGGGCCTTTGGTTCAAAAGCCTACCGACATTGTTGCGGTGTTTGGCTGGAAATGAAAGTAAATCACCATTTTTACAGAACACGTCAACAT